TCTAGATTTTCAACCTGAAAGAATTTTTCTCTATTATGGAATTCTTTTCTGTTATAGAACTTGTGATAAGGTTCTTTTACCTGGTGCATATATATTGGTCAGGCTCGAGTGTATATACTGTACATATGAAAAATGAGAAATACCAATACGTTCTCTAACAATTCTACCATTCTAAGTTTCTTTCGTTCATTACAATTGTTCTTCTTCCTGCATTATTTTTTTCTTATACCCTTCCCTTCCCTATCCACCCGCCGCTACTACTGCTTCGCCTGATCAACCTTTTGTATAAGATACTAAAATCCATTATCACACGTGTTAACATTAATTGTTCATCCATTTTGCTACCTTCATTTTTTAAGAGAAATTCAATTAAATTAGTTGGGGGTTTATTATTTATAACTTCAGATGGTGCAATTTTTTGGTGAACAATTGAAAAAACATGTACTGATTAAAAAATGGAAATGGTAAATGGGCTCACTGTTGTATGGTGCTGAATGATAAATGAGGAAGCATTGCAAGATTCAAGGATTAAGGCTGAAGGGATTCTTGTAGCGATATCAACAATAGTGTAGCTCTTTTTCTCCTTTCATATTGTGATAAAAATCATATGATGAATTTTTAATTTTCGTATTCTTTTACTATGATGAATGGCTAAAATTCTACATGTTAGGATGAATAGTGTAGCCTAGGTCGTTTTTGTTAAATAACACCTTTATTATGCTAATTACTTATTGTGTGTTATTCTAATTCAATTGCTTGATCTCTAATTGATTTATATGGGGATTATATTGAGATCGAAAGATAATATAATGTCTAGCTTGTACAATAGGGACATAAACTTTGATGAGAAATTGAGTTATACTCGTACATATTATGCTACCTTTAAATTGAAAATTTCTTTGAATTAATGCAAGTTATGTTTTGGAACTTACATAGAGATGCAGTGAGTTTGCGCATTTATGTAGGATTAATTATGTTGGAAAGAGATTATTAATTAATTTCAACACTTTGATTTTTAACAATCGTAGGTAAGGTTATTGTATGTTAAACTAAACCAAAATCAAATTACTTGGTTAGGGTGAATTTCAACCCAAATCAACTCACTCTAGCTCTTCAATGGAACAAAGTTAGTTGGTTTGGACTTTAAATCCAAATTGAATTTTTTTTTAAGAAAAAAATGTTTGAGTTTTAGGCCCACTTGGGTTTAAGCGGTCATTCTTTACCGGTTTTTGACAGATTTTCAAACCACATAGTTTAAATTGGTTTGAAAAAAATCCAAATCTAAACCAAACCATTTTAAACGGTTTGAAAAAAACTCAAACCTAAACCTAACTTTTTGGTACGGTTTTAAACCGCTAGTTTCGCCATATATTTTTTTGCCTGTCTACTCTTACGCCATTAATTAATTGAATTTAATATATATTTATATCTTACTAGCAATAAATCCAAAATAAACTAAATATATCTACTATATATTTAAGTACCAACTAAATCAAAGTGAAATCACAATAAACTAACACATAGTTTTTTGTTCGCCATTTTTAGGCTAATGACGTTACGATAAAGTTACAAAAATTTAAAACTATTGAGGCTTTGGGCACAAGACAAAAATTAAAACTTGACAAAAATAATTATAATAAAAACTAATTAGGATTATTGGTTAATAATAATATATATGTAATAGAAAATTAAAAATTGACAAAAACACCCATAAATGACAAGAGTCGCAAAACTATAGAAATTTACATATTTGGATGAATTTTCAAAAAATTTCATTTATTATTCAGAAATTTTATATATTTTTTCATTGGTCCGGTTTGATTTTAAGCCGCAATTAAAACTCTCAAACCTAAGCCAACCTGTTTTTGGTTCAAAACCATTTTGTTGACGGGTCCACATGGCACCAAACCGTTAGTTTCTAAAATACGATTTCAGTTCAATTTTCCGATTTGGTGGTTTTTGCTTACAGCCATACCACTTAGATTACAATAACTAAAATTATTAAATAACTTTATATTACAAGAACTATTGACTAATAAATAAAATTGGGTTAATAAAGATATATCAACAGAAAACTTAAAGAATTTTGTTTTTTGTTTTTTGTTTTTGGTGTGTGCAGAAGACTTATAAATTTTGTTTTGTGTTATATTTTTTTTTTGTGTATTACGTAGAATGATTGCCTAAATATGGAAAAAAAATGATAAGTATAACAAATGAGCTAGTGAAATGAATTTTTTTAGTGCTATTACTCCTACATATTATGCTACCTTTAAATTGAAAATCTCTTTGAATTAATGCAAGTTATGTTTTGGAGCTTCCATAGAGATGCAGTGAGTTTACACATTTAAGTAGGATTAATTTTGTCGGAAAGAGATTATTATTTAATTCGAACATTTTGATTTTTAACACTTGTAGGTAAGGTTATTGTATGTTAAACCAAATTAAGCATAAATTGACTTAAACGAAATTAGAATTCCTAAAAATTTAATCTCATGAAAACCTTTCGTGAAGTTTTCACGTGTTTATTTTTTGGTTAAATTTTAATTACAAATTTTAGTTTTATTTCTACATAATCGAACTTAAGTTCGTTCAAACACCAGCTACGATTAAGTAAATTGATAGTTCATAGCATTAAGTTCTCAGGTAACAATACTTGTACTTTATTCGAACCTTTATCAAAGCAATGCTACTTTATTTATTTTACGAATTAACTGCTGCTATCCAATCACAAGACTTATTTAGGCATAGTCTTCAATCTTGAAATCCAGCAATTCTTGTGGGACCTACACCTTAGCTTCGCACTCTTTATTCTTGTTGATCACGCAGTTGAACGCCTCAAGGGTTATAATGAACATGAACCCTTCAAGCATATCTTCCCTATTCCATTCTATTAGCTTCACAAATTTCAGAACTTGTGCATTCTGCAATCATAAAGGAACAAAAATAAATGATATTTCAGACTCAATTCCAAAATTTCATACAGTCATGAAAATTGCAGGTAAGAAAACTCTCTCTTTCTTTTCTTTTGGTGTGTGAATAATTGAAGGCAGTTCACGTGATTTGTGTACAGACTGGGGAAGAGTGAAACATGCAATAGTCCAATCAGCAAACCTGCAGAATCAAATGAAATACACATGAAACATTTTCCACGTGTGGTCTATATTATGGATAAGATTTGTTTAGAAGTGGTTGGCCTTCAACGCCTGTCTTTAATAGGGCCGGGCACGGTTTGGTTTTGATCGTTTTTTACTCCAACTCTAAACCAAAATCAAATTACGTGGTTTGGGTGAATTTCAACCCAAATCAACTCACTCTAACTCTTCAACCGAATTGAGTTTGTTGGTTTGGCCTTTAAATCCAAATTGATTTTTTTTTAAGAAAAAAATTCGAGTTTTAGGCCCACTTGGGTGTAAGGGGTCCTTTTTTACTAGTTTTTGACAGATTTTCAAATCAAACAGTTTAAACCGGTTTGAGAAAAATCAAAACCTAAACCAAACCATTCTAAACGGTTTGAAAAAAACTCAAACCTAAACCTAACTGTTTGGTACGATTTTAAACCACCAGTTTCGCCAAGTATTTTTTTGACTGTCTACTCTTATGCATTAATTAATTGAATTCAATATATATTTATATCTTACTAGCAATAAATCTAAAACAAACTAAATATATCTACTATAAATTTAAATACCAACTAAATCAAAGTGAAATCACAATAAACTAAAACATAATTTTTTGTTCGTCATTTTTAGGCTAATGACATTACGATAACGTTACAAAAATTAAAACTATTGAGGATCAAGGCCCAAGACGAAAATTAAAACTTGACAAAAGTAATTATAGTAATAACTAATTAGGACTATTGAGTAATAATAATATATATGTAATAGAAAATTAAAGATTGACAAAAGTAATTCACTTTTAGATATAATAATAAGCAACTGATTTTTCGTTGGTAAAGATGATATCTCTTTACCAACGGATATTCCGTGTCTAATATAACCGTTTAACATTTTGATCTTTTACCTACAGATATTCCGTTGGTAATTAGAAACGGATTATCCATTAATAAAAATGATATCTCTTTGCCAACAGATATTCCGTGCCTAATATAACCTTTTAACATTTTGATCTTTCAGCAATGGATATTCCGTTGGTAATTAGAAATGGATATCCGTTGGTAAAAATAATTCACTTATCCCACATCGGAAGTTTACAACAATATCTTTGTAGTTTCCCTTTATAAATTTGTGGTCCAATAAGGAGTTACACAATATTTTAGCCTTTCAATTCAGTTGGCTAAAAATTAAAAAAATTAAAATTATTAAATAAATAAATAATTTTTTTACCATACGGTTATTTACAACATTGATTTTTACCAATTGTAATGGTAAACGTTCACCAATGAAAAGTCGGTTGGTATTTGTTAAGACTTTTACCAATAAAAATTCCATTGGTAAAAGATTCACACTTTACCAACGAAAAATTAGTTGGTAGAATGTTTACTCTTTACCTACGGCACGATCCATTGGTAACTATCAGTAACCCTCAAATTACTAATGAATTTGTGGTTGCAAATATTCCCTTGGTAAAGATTATTAGAAACGGATATTGAGGCTTTAGGAACGAAAAATCCGTGCCTGAAGCTCTATTTTTTAGTAGTGTAAGCCACCGTCCACTAAAAAGCCACCACAATGAAATTATCAATTGCATTGCCAAAATCACTATCACTATCACTATCACTATCACTACCTCTAACTATTTTCACCACCGCAACTACCACCTTCAGTGCTACCTAGACAATCGTGACCCTGGCAACAAGCAACTAGGCCATTGCCTAGTGTCTGAAAAATATTTAAACGCTTAAAAGGCCAACCAAAATTTTACTTCACATATTTTTTTTTTGTTTGGATTCTCTATGCTTTTGAAAAGTCGCAAAATTAGTTTTATTTCCACATATCGAAACATAATCGAACTTAAGTTCGTTCAAACACTAGCTACGATTAAGTAAATTGATAGTTCATAGCATTAAGTTCTCAGGTAACAATACTCGGACTCGTATCCATATTATTGCTTGACACAGTACCGTACACTTGTACTTTATTCGAACATTTAACATAGCAATGCTGCTTTATTTATTTTACGAATTAACTGCTGCAATACGAGTCCAATCACAAGGTTTATTTAGGCATTGCCTTCAATCTTGAAATCCAGCAATTCTTGCGGGACCCACACCTTAACTTCACACTCTTTATTCTTGTTGATCCCACTGTTGAACGCCTCGAGGGTTATAGTGAACATGAACCCTTCAAGCATATCTTCCCTATTCCACGTGATGAGCTTCACAAATTTCAAAACTTGTGCATTCTGCAGTCATAAAGGAACAAAAATAAATGAGATTTCAAAATCAATTCCAAAATTTCATACGGTCGTGAAAATCGCAGGTAATTGTAATTAATAAGATGCAAAGAATAATTGTAGTTGAATATTAACAAAATCAACACAGAAACCCGGAGGGGGAGGGGGGGGGGGAACCTGTTTTTTGTTGTATTCATAAACAGCAAATTCAGCGAGATATTTAATATATTCTTTTGGGAAGGAGGGGATCTTTTCTCCAAAGGCGGCCATTCTCACAGATAAATTTTTTTTGCTAAGAAAACTCTCTCTTTCTTTTCTTTTGGTGTGTGAATAATTTAAGGCCGTTCAAGTGATTTATATAAAGACTGGGGAAGAGTGAAACTTGCAATTCTCCAATCGGCAAACATTTTCCACATGTGGTCTATATTATGGATAAGATTTTTTTAGAAGTGGTTGGCCTTCAACGCCTGTCTTTAATAGGGTTGGGTCCGGTTTTGTTTGGATTGTTTTCTACTCCAAGTCAAAGTCAAAATCAAATTAGTTGGTTTGGGTGAACTTCAACCCAAATCAACTCACTCTAGCTCTTCAACCCAACAAAGCAAGTTGGTTTTCACTTTAAATCCAAATTGAATTTAAAAAAAAATAAAATAAATAAATTCCAATTTTAGGCCCACTTAGATTACAAGATCTAAAATAATTAAATAACTTTATATTATAAGAACTATTGACTAAGAAATAAAATTGGGTTAATAGAGACAAATCAACTGAAAACTTAAGTTTTTTTTTTTTTTTTGGTTACTTTTTTTGTGTGTATTATGTAGAATGGCTACCTAAATATGGAAAAAATTTTAAGTATAACATAATGACCTTCTGAAATGAAATTTTCAGTGCTATTACTTACCGAAAATATCATATATTCAAGGGGATCGTGAGATTATGGCTTATCTTTTGATTTTTATTTTTCTTAAATAAAAATGTAAATATATAAGTGGGACAGGTATTGTAAAGCCTCGAAAATTTTCACATACTAGAATTTATTTATGTTACACATTATATTTTATATTTGGAAAGTTGGGGGACTAAAATGACAAATATATCAATATTGTACTCGTTGGATAGCTCGTGATTAATTATGTATGTTAGGCATCGCCATCAATCTTGAATTCCAGCAATTCCTTGGAGGGATCCAGCTTGATCGCCACTGTAGTTTCACACACTTTATTCTTCTTCTCCACGCGGTAGAACACCACCAAGGTTAGATAGTACATGAATCCTTCCACCACTAGCTGTTTCCCATCCAATACAATCTTCAAGTCCAGGACTAGTGCATTCTGCAATAATAAAGGAAGAGATTTCAGACTGAATTCCAAAATTTCATAGAGTCATGAAAATCACGGGTAATTGTAAGTAATAAGATGCAAAAAATAATCATAGTTAAAGATTAACAAAATCAACACAAAAGGGGAAAAACTTCTCTTTTTCTTTTCAATCAAAACAAGCGAGACATTCAATCTCAAGGCTGTTCTCAACTCCTACATTTGGGGTAATTCCTCTGGGGATGGTCATGGCGGCCATTCTCACGGATAACGAAATTTTTTTGCTAAGAAAACTCTTTTTTTTTTTTTTTTGGTGTGTGAATAGTTCAAGGCAGTGTAAAACCAATTAATTTTGTGGCCATGTAGTATTACAAGAGAATTAATTAAAATGGTTTATTTATTACTAAAATACTATTGGCCCATTGCGAAGTGGCAGTTTTATATCTGTCCACTTTGCTGAAAAGTTGGCAGTTATATTAATGGCTCATAAAACTGCTCCTCTCTCCTTTAAAAGTGATTAAACCCCATCAATTAATACATTGAATAACAGAGAGGTAATTGGAGAGAACGATTTCTTGTTTTTTTATTTCTCTTATTTTGCATGTCTAAATCCTCTATTCTTTATCATTGATCAAGGTATGTTTCTTGATCAATTAATTTATTTTGGGAAAATCATGGAGTTCCAAGATCTTAGTATCAGGGTTTAATTGCTTACAGGCAGTTGAAGTGATTTATATAGACCGGAGAAACAGTGAAACTTGAAATTATCCAACTAGCTAACTTGTAGAATCAAATGAAATACACGTGGAACATTTTCCATATGTGCTCTATATTATGGGACAAGATTTTTTAGAAGAAGTTGGCTTTCAACCTCTGTCTTAAATTCTCAACTTTTAATATCTCTTTTTGATTCTCAGTTAAAAAACATGTTCTTTTTTTAAAAAAAAAATTAAAATATATAATGTTAGTTTACTGCCATGACTACCTATAACAGGCATTGTTAAATAGTCATCACTATCACTTGTAATATATATTTTTGCTTTACTATGAGGCCCTTTGATTCTCATTATTTGGAAAAAGAATGAGTTTTGATTAGTATTTTAAGAAGAATTTGTGGTTAAAAAGAACGAAAACGTTTTTTATATACATGTAGAATATTTTATCGTGTGAATATATGGTTGAAAATGATCTTGTAGCAAATCATAAAATAAATTAATGAGTATCAAATAGGCACTACAAGTCATAACTATCACTTGTAACATTCATTACTGCATTGTCATCATTACTGCCTTCGTCATCGCCATTAGCACTTGTAACATTATTATTACACCACCTCAGTCGTCTTAGCCACCGTCCACTGAAAAGCCACCATAATGAAATTATCAATTGCATTGCCAAAATCACTATCACTATCTCCACCTATTTCCACCACCGCAACTACCACCTTCAATGCTACCTGGCCAATCGTGACACTAGTCTGCATCTCGTGCGTTGCGCATCTCGTGCGTTGCACGAATTTTGTATTTATTTTTATTTTATTAGCGTAGAATTTATAAATTGTACAAAAAGTATTTGGAAATAAGAAATGTTTGTTTCATTCTCATCTTTTGGTCGACTGTATATTTTATGTCACAATAATTTATTTTTATTCTTATAAATAAGTATAGTGAATGTTGTGATTGTATATATGTCAACGATAATTTATTTTTAATTATTGATTGTATTTTTTGTTTAATGTAGATGAAGATTTTTTTTTATCTCATATTGTAAATAAGTTGTAAATTGAATTTTGTAAAATGCTTTTCTTTAGCAATTTCGATTCGAGAGGCTATACTTATAGTTCAAAAATAACCCATGCAGTTGTAAATTGAAAGAGAATATCCACATACACAGACATTTAAATAACAAACTCAGGTTCGCACGTAAAAATAACTTGAAGTGGCACTTATTCGATGGCCAACTCCCTTGTTGGTGTAAGAATTAGAACCCTAACAGCAGGCCTGTTCTTCAGACGATACAATAGTCACTCCGAGGTTGGAAGGGCAAAAGAGTTTTTAAAAAAAATTAAATAAATTTTATTTGAAAGAGAAAATAATTAAAAAGAAATTTAAATAAATTGATAAAAGAAACCAATTATTTATAAAGTAAATTTTTCAATTTTAATTAAATAATATTTATATATTCTTCATTTAGTTTCCATAACTTTATTTTATTTTTTACTTCTAAATAATTTTAAAAGATTTTTTTTACTTATATAAGTAATTTTTACATATATTAGAAATATTTTTTGTTAATATGTTTATTTTTAATTAATTTATTTTTTTTTTTTACTAAAAGTGATTTTTTTTTTTTTTACTTATAAAAGTGCTCAGCACAGAGTAAGGCGGGAGGTATGGAAAGTTGCGTATTACATAGATTCACATTGATTTTCTTGCACTATATATATAAAATAATAATATAAGCAAATGAGTTGATTTGAAAAGGCGTGGCCATAGCGTATGAAAATGGAGAACGGAAAAGTACAAAAAAAAATTTTAATAATCTTCCGTGCACGGAGACCACACTATATATAATTTTTTTAATCTTTTTTCTTCAATTTTTTTGACCTACAAATAACTTTTTCGTTAAAATTGAAAAATTAAGTTTTATTCGGAAGAGAAAAGTATTAAAAAGAAAAAAATAATTGTTTTTTTTAAGAAAAAGCGCATTTTTAACACATACATTTAATCTCCGTTTAACTATTTTCGTTATTTATTTAGATCATTCGATGTCTCTACGATATAGTTCTCAAAATGAGTTTCGAGAGAATGTAAAATATTTACCGATTTGACTACCGTAAAATCGTTGACGAACTTTTAAAGTTAGCTTATTATCGGAAATTTTGAAATAGTAATAAAATAATTGATTTTTTTAAGAAAAACGACATATGCATATTTTTTAACACATACGTTTAATATCCGTTTAACTATTTTTGATATCTATTTTGATCATTCGATGTCTCTACGATATAGTTTTCAAAATGAGTTTCAAGGGAATGTAAAACATTTATCGATTCGACTATCGCACAATCGTCGATGAATTTTTAAAGTTAGCTTGTTATCGAAAATTTCGAAATATAGTTTGAAAATGCCTACTTTGACGTCTGATAACATTTGCTATGATTAACCGTTTCACGCACCGTTAACGATTTGCAATATTATGCCACGAGCACTTCAAAACGATATTAAGAATGTAATATTTTGACTTCGTCTAATATCCCTTAATGAGTATTAAAATGAACACAAAAACATAAGTAAAAAATTTTTTTTTGATTTCTCCAGGTCTCCGTGCACGGAGCCCTTGGGCCTCCGTGTACGGAGTCCTCTTATTTTTTTCTTTTTTAAATAAAAGCTAATACCTCTCTATACTATATAAACTAACTACAATGAGATATATATAATTTACTTTAAAATATTTTATTATACTGTAAGAAACTGCTGCAACACGTAATTTCCGTACCTCCCATAACTCCATGCTCAACCACTCTTATATAGATATATATAGTCAGAATATAAGAAAAAATATCTTTTATATAAAAAAATAAAAAAAATATTTTACAAAAAGTTACTTTTAAGTAAAAAATTTGAAGAAAAAAGAATTAAAAAGAATTTTAATTTTTTTTAATTTATAATTCTTTTCTCTTAATAATTCCAAACAGAAATTTAGATTTGAGAATTTTTTCTGTGTAGTTTTACGTTATAAATAATAGTTTTTTCAATTTAGAATTCTTTTTAATTTTTTTTCTTCAAATTTTTTATTATTAATCAATATTTTTTAATAGTTTAAGATAAAATTTAATTTTCTAGTAATAATTCAATATATAAAATGATGAAAAAAACATATTCACTCCGTGCATGGAGAAAAAAATTTCCGTCATACCACATAATTTTTTTGAGCAAAATGATGCATTAAGAAAATTGTTGCGAAAAAAGAATAAATAGCACTACAATAATTAATTTTTTAAAAAAAATGACGTATACGCTTTTTTAACACATA